TCATCTGGACTTCACAGTCAAACAGCGATTTGAGGCAACATGTTAATCTTCAACATGAAATCATGGCAAAATAATTTGCGATGCTCTCGGCCTTCTGATCGAAAGATGATGTCAAGGTGAACCGGAAGTTCTGAAAACGAGTGCTGGATGAAATCGAAAAATGAAATGATAAATAGCAGGCTAAGCATTTTTCAGTGACTAACGCGTGTGAACTTCAGTGCAATTATATATAATTTTTTGGTACTGATATCATCGTTTTTCTCCGAACGAAGCATAAGATTTATCATCGACAGTGAATTTAATGCGTGTTGTTCAGTTCTTGTGCTTTCAGGTGACATTCTGTACTTTGACGATCACGCGTACTTATACTTCAAGGACCGAATCGGCGACACCTTTCGATGGAAAGGTGAAAACGTGTCCACCAATGAAGTGGAGGGCATCGTGCAGCGCATCTCTGGCCTTACCGACGCTACTGTATACGGCGTCGAGATTGTGGGTACGGTCGTTTGTAACGCTTGATTAACGCTTTTGAAGTCTTCCGCGTTTGCCACTGTGGTCTAAGTTTACGTTGCTGCTTCCCTTTAGGATCTGAGGGTCGTGCCGGCATGCTTGCCATCGTTGATGTCAAGAAGACCATCAACATCGAAGGATTCTACTCGCTTCTTTGCAACTATCTTCCCCGGTACGCCGTTCCAATTTTCATACGCTTCTGCCAGGAAGTGGAAACGACCGGTAAGTCAAGTGGGATCAAACTTTTTTCTCTCACTTTCGTTCACTATCTTAGTCTTCCTGTGGCATCATTGATTTTCGATTTCAGTGTCACTTTTTCAGCTGGACTTAGCGCACCTTCGAAAGGAAAAGCTTACTTACGTTAACATAGTACAAGCTCGCATAATGTGAATCAAATTCAGTCGGGCCTACTATTTCTTATGGGTAACAGTTTATGATTCCCATAATTTTACATCTTGTTCAGTGCATTTTACGTGAAGTAACTTCATTCTCTGTCTTTTTAAGTCAGATGCATCTTCGATGTTTCGCCTATCTTTTTTCTCAGATTAGGGCAAGTTGTCTCTGATTCTTAGCTACTTATTAATTCACTGAATAGCCTTTCTAAAACCTTATTTCGCGTTGCATTCATAACTTTCTCAGAAAGATTTTGGTCAGTTTCCTGCACTACCAGGGCTGCAAACAGTCATATATTTCGTGTTGTACTTATTAACAGTTACAACGATGCGACGACTTTTAGTGCTACAACCATAGGGCTCACGCGTCAGACAGCATAGGCGTATGTTTGGTATATGGTAAATACTCCAAAACGTCATGCGTTTCCGGTTGTTCGCAATTCGACGACGTGTTGCCCGTTTTTCGGCTGGTTTCCTTGCAGCACGTTTCAATGATTTTCCTGTTCAAGCAAATTTGCCGTTTCTATGCTTTTCAATCATTCTGTATCTCCTTACTGCCATATTTCCTGTTGACGGTTGTAACGGTAGCAATGTAAAGAAAATTTTCTGGCTTTTGTGTTTCACCCATCCATACCCTTGTCAGATGAAATTCGCTTGTAGAGATGTTTGAACCCATCATCGTTACTGTCTATTCCTTAGCTGTACGTGCATGCCGATACCGATAGGTTTCTTTTTCACGGTTGAACCAATGGTACAGCAGATGTAATTGAGAAGCACTGTTGTATTTCACGTAGCGTGGAGGTACAGTGCGTAAGGGGTCGCCTTCGACCTCCGAGTGTACCGGGTTCGGTTCTGACGAAGGAGCAGTCTTTGTCTTAACTACAGATTCCCTTGAGTAAGAAATTTTATCCACACGTTGCTTCACATCGGGGTTTGGTCAGTTGGTAAAGCGTCTCGCCCAGAATGAAGACATATCGTGCCCCGAACGGGATCGCTGGTCTTTCTTGCTTCCAAGGTTAATAAATGAGTATTATACTGTTAGAGGTAACAAGAGACCACCGCAGTGCTTGTCACATAGATGCTGTAAACTCTACACTTAGAACAAGGCAAGGAAATGATGATCAGCGCCTTTCCATTAACTTCATGAAAAGACGGATGCCAGAAATCGCCCCCCCCCCATGAAAGTGCAAAGAACACCAAGATTCCAGCGGTTAGTAACTTCCTTCCTCCTTGCACGTCGTACCGTACGACCACCCATGTGGTGCTTGGGTCTTGTGATCTCTGTCGGACCAGAATATTGGAGATCTCCATCTGCACCGG